CATAAAATATTGCATGGTTCAAGTACTGAAATATGTAGCGCCTTTAATCTCGACAATTGAGTAGTGAAAGTTTTTCAAGATAGATTTAAAATTTTCGTATTTATCTGGTGATTTTTAACGATTTCGTTTCCGTGTCATATTTTAGGAACCGAATCGAAGCCACAATTTCAGTTCCGAAAATTTTTTAGAACCGCCAAACTCAAACCTCAACGAATAGTGTCGATGGTAAAGTTGATAGACTTCGTTCATTTTCAACAGGAGAGGTATTAAGATTAAGTTTGGCTGAGAGTAGACACTGCTTTGTTTTCTCCTAATTTAGATCCTATCGCAAAACATTCAATCTTTTTAAGACTATGATTATGCTGACACGTATAAGTTCTAACTACTCAGAAAGTTTCATTCCATTCGAATGAAGCCAATGCATACTCTGGTATGCTTTCGAAAGAAATCAGTATTTTTGAGAGAATAGCTTCTTAGACTTTTCTGAAGAATCATCTACGAATCAGTTTCCTATATGAAAGATAATCCACTTGTTTAATACAAAAAGACAATATATTTAAGCAAGTAAGATCTTTCAAAAACAAATGTTGGACCCTGAAAGTTCATTGGAAAGGGTGTTAGTTACAACTAGACATCTCTAAACAGTAAGAAGAAGTCAAAAAAAGCGATTTTCTACTTGGATGTCATGGTAGAAGTAGTAGTTTACAAGTAAGATAAAAAAATAACCAATACAGATTTATACTTAAATAGCATTTTTTTTTTGTAGATTCTCGTGTATATTTATTCATATTTTACTTACAACGTTCAAAATTTCAATTCAACTATTGAAAACCTGAATTTCCCATTGTATCAAAAAACATTCTTGAAGTAGTCATGGCAACTAGTTTTCTCAATTGTTAAACTCATATATCTGGAAAACAAAAACAATTATTATATGGAACTCAAAAAATAGTCAATATATATTCTCTTTTTTTCACAACAAATATAGACAAGGAATGTAGAAGCTAGCACAAGCGTAAATTATAATATTCCTAATCAATTAGAGCATTGTCAAGAAATCTACTGATATTTTTTCGTCTAAATTAATTAAATAAAACTTTTCTCTATCAACAGTTCTTTTCCGAGATACTTTCAAAATAATCTTGAAAATTTATACCTATAAATCTGTTCTATGATATCCAAACTATGGTAAATATGTGATATCAAATTATTGCATCTTTAGTTTAGATCTGTCTTCATGTTTGAAAGAAATTTTCGAGAAAATCTATCTTTATGCCATTGTCTGATTATTTTGACGGGTGAGCGGAAAGTTTTTAAATAAGATGTTCTTGTCCACTTTTGATCTGCTAGAAACTATCATAAGCTATGAGCTGGGACCAGACTTTTGTGTTCTTTTCGAATATAGGCTAAGAAATGTTATGCCAACTTATATTTAGGAACAGTGAGAAAGTTTTTTCAAAACCTGAAAAATTATTTTTCATAGTAAGCTAATAAGTTTTTGTTGATCTCATAAGTTCCTTTTTGAACATGCTAAAAATTATCACAGATGGTCGTTTTGTACAGCGCATACTCTATAAAATTTGATATTAAACTAAGTTATCTCTTTTATCCAAGTAAGGCTATAGACTTTTTTACAAGGTGCTCTTTTCAATATGAAACGTTTATCAATTTTTCAAGAATAAATATGTAAGAAAAGCAAACATTGATGTGTCTGATTAGAAGACAAACTTCAAATAGTGCATTTTGTAGGGTAGCTTTGATCTACAAGCTGATATATAAATAAAGAGCCTAACTTTTAGTTTTGAATTGCAATAGTGAAAATACAAAATCTTTCATTCAAACAAAGTCTTTGATCTTTTCAAAGATTATTTTACTACTTCCGAACAAAATTTCTAAACCCATATTTGAAAAGACCAAAACATTTTGGTCCTAACTCACGGCTTTTGATACTTTCTAGTGAGTCGAAAGTGGGAAAATATCTTGTCTACAAAACTTATCGATCATCTGTTAATATCCAGAAGTTTATTTTTTGTCTTAATGGCTACCATTATCAATCTTCTCTCAAACGGATATAATTCAAATAAATTATTAAACTAGATTTTAATTCAAAATTTGAGAATATATATATTAGAGAATATACAATTTTTTTAAAAACCCTTATAACTTCATATTATTGATTAACAAATTATAGTTTTACATTACTGCTCGCGTGTTCTTTATCTCATAAAAGTATGAAAATCCATACAGTATTCCTTTGTCAAATCAATAGACAAAAGTTATTATTGAGTTTTTTATAAATATCAACGATAATTCAACATTAATTTCGAATTGTCCTATTAAAGACATTTTTCAACCAAATACTTCGAAATAATTAATTTAGAAAAACATACCCTTCTTGTTTAATAACAAAGTCAACGATACCATACATTGTACAGATGACAGTTGTTTATTGAGACTTCATATTTATGGACAACTCATTAATCAAATATCTTCTTTTTGTTTTTCATCGGCAAATTTGTAATAAAACTTCCATGTACAAAAAGAAATATTTCGAGTTCTTATCAATAGAATATGTCATACGTCTTGTTCTTAGAAATCTTTTCACTAACAACATTTGCATCAATCATCCAAACATATGTGTACGGCATATACCATTTATGCTTTTTGTTAGATAATTATGTCTTTGAGTATATACAAACAGAAACATATTCTCAAAAGATTTCTACATTGTCAGAATTGATTGGATTCAAAATATATGATTGTACTACAATTCTCAATTTTCATTGAAATATACACTAGATTGATTAATAAAAAGAATATCAACAAGATAAGGATCATTATCGTCCCTTGATGTATCATCTATAACTTTTCTTATTATTATGGAACTGTATGTATCAATGTTTATATGACTTTATGCAAGATGATTATATACCTTATTTGTTAGTGTTTCCACGTTGTCTTTTATATACAAGAGAATGTCACATCATTTGCACACAATCAAAACTTATTGGTACACCAAAAGAAAAAGAGAACGATCTATTCTAACAATAACAAAAGCAACATTTCGATGTGCTTCTCTCCGCCCATAATGCTCTTCGCGATTCATTAACTTTTTACATAAAAAAACGACAAGAATGTCATTTTATATTTATGATGGTATTTAAAAGATCAGAGACGATAAATCAGAAATCAATTCCATATTTTTTTTTTTTTTGAAATGAAAACAAATAATTCAATTGATGAAATCATTTCATCATTAGTTAGCTAAGAATCATTATACCTAAATAAACATAAAACATAGTTTCATTTATACAAAAATCTTATTCATACATATCTCACAGTATGACGATAAAGATGAATTATTATCAAACTTCAATCATATAAACAAATGAGGTAAAACATGATGAGTTTCTTGCGAGTATTATTATATGTACATATAGTTGATCAAATCACACGATTGGCACGTAGACATAATCAATGATCGGTCAAATAGAATCATAAGAGAAATATCTTGTTCAATTCATTGTTCACGTGCGAATAACTTATTCTATTTAATCACCATCTTCATTTTGTCTTTTTCTTGATCTGACTGTTTGATTATACAACTATTCCGAATGTAGAACCGACAGTATAAACAACAAGACATTAACATATGTACATATGTCCATATATATATATATATGACATGCATGATTACCATTTATCAATACTACTTTGCTATAGATATTTTTTATTGTCACACAATGTTTCATCAGACTAACAATTCTTCATAACAATTGTTCGATTTTGGAATTTATGTATACATATATGTGGAGCCTATTTAATAACAATAGTATATATGCATCAATCATGCACGTATGTAAACGCTCGTTAAGAACAATGAAAATGGTCACCTATACATGCTTTCAATTTATGTTTGAGCTTCGACATATCAACCTTGAGACAGACGAGTTAATTAATGAGACAGCTGGTTTTCAAGAAAAAAAAGTTTTTTTTCGAAGATTGTTTGATATAATCATCTCTCGTTTTTTCCCATCGACATTTATACATGAAAGATGGAACTTCTAAAAGATTAATAATCAATCAATAGCAATGTCTTTGATCGATGAGTAACTACTATAATCACCAAGAGTTGCAAGGCATATATCATTAAATCTACAAACACATTTGAAATGATCCATTGAAATGATAGTGAATAGATGCCAAGGACAAGTCAATCATAATCTAACAGAAATAAGAGAATTATGATTGACAATATGCAAATAGATTTGACATTGAAATAAACCTAACTCGGAATATATGATTATACCTCACCTCGTATTTGTCAATGTGTCATTAAAAATTTTAATTTAACAAAAGTAACATAAAAAAAAAAGAATTCCACTTTTAATTAAAATCAAAAGAGCAAAGAGCATTACATGTAGCCTTTTTATTTTCCAAAACATAATCAAGATACACTTAATCGATTCATTGTTCTTTCTCTTTGTTCTCTGTCTATACACATTATTAATAAATCGTAAGTAGTCAAACAAAAAGAAATGTTGTTGTTGTCATTGAGATGACTGACCAACGAACGGAGAACTTATATATGCAATTGACCTTTTTAATCGAGACAATACTACTGATCTATTGATTTTCGCTTTTTACCATCAATACATTCAGTAGGCGAACGACATGCACGCTTCACCAAGATGTTTGTCTATCGTCGACAAATCTGTACATACATTTACTACACAACACCCAACCCAACTCAAATTTCGCATTGACAACTCACATACAAAAAAATAATAATTGATCATTCTATCCTTTAACATAGTCTTTTTGTTATTTTTTTTTCATGAATATCATCAACCAGAAAAACAAAAAATGTGTACGGATCGAATGTCGTGTTAAACACGCGTGCAAAAAGATTAGACGAACATATATAAAAAGAAAAACAAAATGAAAAAAGAAAAAAAAAAAGAAAATATATATATATATTTATATATGTATATATTGTTTTAGACAATAGCATCATGTCGTTGATGTTTACCATGATATAAATAATTTGAATTAAGATACTGATGATCATTATTTAGTTCATTACTATGAGATGACATTGTTGGATACATATTCATTGGTTGTTCACCAGCAATAAGAAAATCTTTCCAATCATTAAAATAAATATCAGATGGTATACGACCTGATGTTGATGATGTACTTGTTATTGTTGATGGTGCTATTGTCGTTGTTGTTAACGTATCTTTAGTTTGTTGTTGTAAATGTGATGTTGTATTATTATAATGTAAATTATTTTCATTCATAAAAAAATGATGTGGAGGTGAAAATGGAAAATGATCAACAAGTAAATTTGTTTTTGTTGATAAATTTTCTTTTTGTCTTTGTTTATTATTATTATTATGTTTTTGATATCGATACCATAAAAATAAACTTAATAAAATAAATAAGAAAATAAGTATTAATATAAGAATACATGTTAAAAGTATTGGTAATGTTAAAATAGTTGAAGATTTTGTTTCGGTTAAAAATAATGATGTTTCAATAGTTGAATACAAATTTTGTTCTAGACGATTTAATGAATTTGACGGAGTTTTATAAAGATTCTCTAATGTACAACAATAACGACGAGATTCTGATCCACAACATACATGGATTTGACCAGCTAATGGTGGACATTCAAAACCATTATTCCATACACCATATTCATCCAAAAATCCTGGACAACTTGTACGTTGATCTTCAGGATTCATTATTCTAAACTGAAAAATGAAATATAATTAGATAATCTAAAGTATCAATTTACCAGTCGACTTGTATTTCATGCAAAACTTATTGTTTCTTGTATTGAAACGATTAGATGAAGAGAATCTGAAAGCAAAGAATAACGGAATAATGATACATGAAGAAAAAAAAGAAAAAGAAAAAAAAGGAAAAAATGTTCGACAATCATCTTTTTCTCTCGCTTGCTCTCTCTCTCTCTTGCTCTTGCCCTTTCTCTCCTTTCTTTTCTCTTACGTTCTCATTATAGATCATCATCTCGTCTTTTTCTTTGACCATGCGATTTTTTTTGAAAACAAAATGAAAAATTATTCAACAGGGAAGACTGTCAAAATCTTCAAGTGATTCTTGTATGACAACAGAAATAGCAGCAGTAATAGAAATAACAATACAAATAATGAATTCATTCTCTTATACATACATACAAAAAGAAAAAGAAAACGGTACACATGTCGTTTATCTAACAAACGTGTGCTGCAAATACAAACAAACAAAAGCGAGAAAATGGAGAAAAAAATGATGACTTGGCTTGTGTAAACCGAAAAAAAATGAGCATGTCGTAACGATTAACTTTCAATCTTGCACATATGACCATATGTCCTTCTCGTTCGATTGTATTCTAGTGCTATCGCTTATCTAAAAGCGCATTAGAACACGTTGACAGCAAGAGTTCAAACTAAGATTATAACGTCATTGATTACAATGAGAAAAAAAGTAAAGAAGCACAGGAAACATATACTCTACCTTCCTTTTTTTATAATAACACTTAACCTTGATAGATGGTAACATAAAGAAAGCGAACAAAAGAAAAAAACTTAACATTTTCTTTGTCAATCACTCAAAACTGATGCTGATGCACACTACTAGAGCAACAAAGGATTATAAAACATCATCATAAGAACCAACTTTTTATTCATTTTCTTTCAATCATTTCCAAGCGTTTGTATATGTATGTTTGCAAGAAAGAAAGTGGTGAATGATTTGCACATGTTGTTGTCGTCAAGTTTTGGAGGCCTATATACATATGATATATACAATGGGATAGTAGCATACGCAGTTAATGAGCTTCGCTTCATCATCATCGTGTAACATATTGAACATAGTCTCACAATCATCACAGTCAAATCAAAAAAGGGCATCCACAGAAACAACAACAACAACAGCAGCAGCAGCAGCAATAGTCTATTCATTATGTAACAAACAATTCATTAAGGTTTAGAACCATACACTCTCAAATCTATGAATGATGATGAACTTTGCTTACTCGACAATAGAATCGGACAACAGCAAACGATGTCTACTTGTGACAAGCACGCTAATGAGTCCTGTTCTTGTCTCGATTCCTATGTAATGAATAAGGGCAGGAAAAAAGAAACGAAAGCCATTGTACAAGAAGAAAAAGAAAGAAAAAAGAAAATCAATGCCTGTACATGATTAGTGCTGGCCACATGGAGATGGAACTATGATGACGGAACTTTTGCATAATGACACAGACGAGTGCACAGCTGGATTCTACTCCCTACATTTGTCTACGAACACATTATGAAATATGGCAGATCAGTGCGAACAACGAGACAATTAAGAATAAGAACACCATGGTGTACCATACCATATATTATATGCCTATATATATTTATGTGCATATCATCTATGTACCTCCTATACACACTATAGCAAATATCACCTTCATTTGTACTAGAGTAAAATTTAGAAAAAAATAAAAAATACTTTTTTTTCATACCATGTTGTTGTCATATATTTTCATAACACAAAGATAATCGTGTTCTTGTTTTTTGTTGTTCATGAGTCTTTGATGATGTCAATTTCAACAAGATGAAGTGTATATGTTATCACAGTTATTGTTTATATTAATTGATTATAATAAAGTGACAGAGAAACGTCAATACACTTTATCTTTTGATATTAATGAAAGCTATGTCATGAAATTATTATTTCATTCATTAATGAAATGAATCATTATATGAGAGCTGAATGTTATTTTATCTCATTCTTATATAAATCTTTCAAGGTTATCCATTTCTGGAAAATAATCTGTTTGCTTTAGTAAATTCTTCATAACCATATTATTAAGAGAAATATCACCAAGAAGACCTTCATCACAGCATGTCTATATAGATGTTATATTTCATGTATCATTGTCCTTTTGCTTTAAATAACGATTCTTTTTATTCCTACTAATAAGGACATATATAATGATCATTATAGAACAGCATCATCAAATTAGAAATACAGAATAGCTCTATAATGTGCAACAAGAATAGAAACTAACTAGCTGAATATTGAGATCAGAGAGATCTATTCAATCATATCGTTATGTCCACATAAAATGATAAAGACTTCGTGAAATCCTGATATATTTGGCTCTTTTTTTTGCACTACTATTGAACAATGCTGGATAATCAAATATATTATTGTACTGTTATGTTTATTGCTAACAACAAAAGTGCTCTTTTGAAATTTCAAATATTTTCTAAGAGATAATTGATGATAACATGATAGTGACGGTTCCTTTTATTTGTAAGAAGATGCTGATGATCATCAAGATTGTATATATATATACATATAATATAAAGCAAATGTCTTCTGAGTTCTTGTTTCTTGAATTATTATCTATTGTTGAACTACAATAAGATGTGTAATAATCATTTCTTTTACTTTTATCTACTGTTTTATTTAGCGCGTAGGGACTAAGAATGTGCCACCTTTTCAAAGATTGAGATGGTTCTTCTTGCGTTTGTGATTTTTGCTCTGTGTACTAAGTGACTTGTTCTCGTGAAAATCGGTGCTCATCATTCTGAAATTTTAAAACGCGTATCCGGCAGAGAAGGTCTGGGTAAAACAGTGCTGTTACTATGATATAAGAAGTTTTCCTTCCGTCAATGAATGTAACTAATGAAAGAAGATGTTGCTTTTCTCAATTTTCAATCAATAGAAATGCTCACTCGATATTAAATCGTATTCTCACTTTATCGTACATCTCAATTCATTTACTTCACCCGATGAGTTAAAAAAAGTGCTCTTTTTTTCTAATTGTAGATAATACTTATTAAAAATTTCTTTCTAGATGAGAAAATCTTTTCTTTTAACATTTATTTTCTTACAATCAAACAATCAGTCAAGTGAAAGTTGTTGTCGTTCCGATCTAGCTACATTCTTCTTTAACTCTTTTATAGACATACTCAAAAAGAACGGCGGTGGCGGCATCAACGCCGACTAACATTCAGACATACTTCAGAAGTTCAAGCGATAATTGGTGTACTCTTCAAACATTCAATCTTGTGTTGCTTATCATATTCACATTTTTCTATTTCCTGTTGATTTATGTACAACTGATAAATGATCTATCTATTTCATCTATTTCCGTTGTATAAAGCAGATCAAAATGAAATTCTCAGCAGCTGAAACAATAACTAGGATATATTCATAAAACTCAACGTGTAACAACGAAAAAAAAAAAGAAAACAGAACAGAAAAAACAAACAAGGAGAAATAGGAGGAACAAAAACAAAAAACATGTTAATATTAGTAATGAGTATGCAATAAGACGAAAACAAAAAAAAAACGAACACTGTTTGCTAATTTGTTCTTTTTTTTCTTTTTTTAATAACTCTTTAATACAAGAAGAATAGTAGAAAAAAAACAAAAACAAGTCCACCAGAAATAGCATGAACAAGCATATATGTATATATATGATTTTTTTGTCTTGTGTGCATATTTCAGAGAAAACAAAACAAAAATAAGCTAAGTCACAAAACACAATCACAGTACATGACAGACAAAAAAAGACATATTTAGTTTCTTTTGTTCTCTAATTACACGAAACAATATATAAATACTCTGACTTGACTTTTTTTTGCTAAGATATAATTATAATTGTGGGATATATATAAAACAATCGAAACGATAAAGAAAAGAAATAATAATAATAATAATAATAATAATAGTAATAATAATAATAACAACAACAAAGAAACAAACAAATTGGAAGATAATGAAAAGACATGAATATAGATTAATAGATATAGGAGTTGGTTAATTAATTTTTTTTTGTTATTTTGATCGTACGCACGCACACAGTTCATAAATACAAGAAACTTTTTTTGTTAGTTGTTTTTTGATCGATAAAAGAGAAAGAAATGCCGATGAGTTGTAAGAATACTGAGAAAAACCACAAAAAATATAAATAAATAGACACAACATTGAAAAATATAATAATATAGACAGGCTTTTTACTGGGTGACATATATATATATAATGCAAGTGGTATAAGGAATGGATCTTAGTAAGTACTATGTCGAAGCACAAAGACCAAACAAAAAATAGGCTAGATAAAACTATATACATTAAAAAAAAGAACGCATGTTTCCCGGTTTTCAAATAGAGCGACATGGATCTGACTGTCGCAGAAGGAGTTATATAGCAGCACATACATGTAGAAAAAAAAACAAAAAACAAATAATAACAAATTAACTAACCACAAAAATAACAAAAAAAGGGAAGAAATAAAGTCGACAACAATAACAAAACAACAATATAATAATAATAATAATAATAATAAAAATTTAACAAACAAAACAAACAACAGTTTTTAATTGTATACAATATATTTGTTCTTACGAAGACTTTTTCTGTGTTTTTAAAAATTTTTTCTTCGGCTTTTCAGAATCCTCTTTCAATTTTTTTCTTCGTTATCATTGTCAAAAGACAAAATTGGTTTTTGACAAAATTAATCGAACAAAAACGAAACAAGGCATAGCACACACACAAATACTCACACACGCGCGCGTTAATTCGAAAAAAAAAAACAAGAAACGAGCTACACAGCAAGCATTGGTGATGATGGCAGGTGCAGACTAGAACTCAAGGATTATAAAGAAGAATAAATAAAAAGACTTGCGAAAAAAACCAAAAACAAACAAAACGAAAGATGATTATTTTCTTTAATACCCAT